GGCCGCCACTGCAGCTCAGCGCTTCGGTCCAGGCGCGGCTGCATCCCCGCCCTGCCCTGCTGCTGCCGCTCCCATCGCATCCCAGAGGAAAAATCACAGGGTTTCGTGGCCTCCTGGAAGCCGGGAGTTTCCTCAGGCCACTGGAATAACGGGGCGAGTCCTGTTCTCTTACACCTTCACCGGCGGATGCTGGGCTCCTCGCAGGCAGCCTGGATTAGGAGGTTGCTGGAGCAACAGGATGTTGTGTGGCCACTGGTTTTGGTGAGAATCTCATACAGTGAGGCTGCAAGTGGCCACTGGAGGTCTCCTAGCCCAAGCTCCCTGCTCGAGTGGAGTCGCCCAGAGCACATTGCTCAGAACAGTTTTCCAGGCAGGTTTTGAGCACCTCTAGTGAGGAAGGCTCCACAGCCTCTCCACTGCTCCAGGAAGGAATTTCTTCCTGATGTCCACGTGGAACTTCCTGTGTTTCAGTTTGCAGAGTTTTCAGAGTGTCTGGAGCAGCTATCAGAAAGTTTTGCAACCTGTTTGTGCCAGGTTCTCCACCGAGTGCTAAGAAACCACCACTTAACAAGAAAATGGATTTTAGACCCCTGAATGCATTTTTCTCTTCCTCCTCTTGCAAAGTTCTGTCTCCCAAATTGGCTGAGTACAGGGCGGGTATGTGGAGATCATGTATAAAATATGGATTTTTCATGTGGATCCTGTTGTGCCAGGGGAGATTTAAAGTGGATTAAGAAAAATTCCTTCACTGTCAAGCACTGAGGTCAGCTGTTCAGGGCAGAAGTGGAGTCACCTTCCCTGGAGGGGTTTAGAGGCCATGTGGATGTGGCACCTGGGGACATGGGTGAGCTGGGCACCTGGTGGCATGGATTAGTGCTGGGGGAATGGTTGGACTCAATGATCCCAGAGATCTTTTTGAACTTAAAAGATTCTGAGATTCTGAGGATCGTGTGGCTCTTGTTACTGAATTGTACAGAAAGGGCCAGTGAGGAGGAACTGCTGCCCAGCAGGATGGGGGAAATTCTGACATGACACACATGGTACAGGCTTAGGAGAGCTCACCTGCCTTTAGAGTTTTTGGTTCCTGTCCAATGAAACTGGAACTCTTCTGCTGGGACAGACCAGCACTGTGAGCAGTTATCAAGTCTCCTCCTGCCTGAGACTCTGCATCTCCCTGATATTGTCTTCTGAGCAACTGTGTGAGTGGAAAAAATCTTAAAAGCATGAGCTTTCTTCCTAGCTGCCTGGGGAGAGAAAAATATCAGTAGCAGCATTACCAGCATGATGATTTTCATCCTTAAATATTTTCATGAACGCCTCTCAAACATGGCCGTGGGGAAGTAGAACACCAAGCAGGAAATTTAAGCCTCTTGGAAACTGAGGAGCTTTTCTTAATTTTCTCTCAGAGGTGCCTTACAAGTAGTTTGTGGGTTCTCAGGAAGTGTTGACCTCAGTGGTGACCAGTCCATCAGGAAAAGCTCAAGGGGTGCTCGTCACCCACTGTGGTTTAGATCACTGGGTGATGATCAGTGCCACTAATTTTATATTGGGGTAAAGTGTGATGGGTTTTTGAGGTGTGTTAGAAATGTGAAACACTCAGGCAGGCCTTTGTCTTTTCAGATTAGGTGAAAAATGATGGTTTGGGTTTTTTTGGGATATTTTAATTAGGGTATGCTCTTGTGAACTGACTTCTCCCTACCAGCCTCACTTTGGGCTGATAATAATGTTCAGAGCTCAGAACTGGATCCATCTGGAACTGCTCTGTGTTTTATGGCTTTCTGCTCTCAGTGCTCCTTTAAATCAACTCTGTTCTTCAGAGTCAGGCAATAAAATAAATCAGGAACTATCTCTCTGCAAAACTTATTTCCATCTCTGCATCATCTTTCACCCTCATCCTTAAAGATTGACAAGGAATGTTTAAAAGAAGAAAAAAAAAACATCCAGCATGTAGTTAATGTTGGTAAATCTTCAGAGGCATGAGAGCCTGTTCCTCTGGGTCACACTGTAATTCAGAAGAGCACTAGTAGTTTGAATTCCTAGCTTAAATTGTTTACAGAAAGCTGATGCTTTTGTACCGCTAATGTATTCATTAGCCAAACAAGAAGCACCCACATTTCTGTGTGTGGAGATGTTGGTCTCCGTGTGCCTGCCTCTGTTCTCAAAAACAGGGAACGGGAAATAGCAGTGCTTCAGTGCCATTTGTGATTTCCGTGCTCGGCCTGAAGTGGTGCAGCTCAGATGATTGACCTTGGCAAGAATACAAACAGCTGTTCAGCAGAATGGCTCTCGGATTTCTTGAGTGGCATCTTGTGCTGAAGTGCCTGCTCACAGGCACAGACATAATGACAGGTAAAAGAACATCTCTGGAACTCTGTGTCCTGTGTCCTCAAAAGGCTCATCCCTAATTGTTTACAAGAAAGTGAGCTGTTTTCACCAGAATCTTACATTCTGCTGTTGGCTTTCCCCCCCCCCCACAAGACAGGTGAGCAAAACTCACATCTTGACAGCACCTGTGGATATGCCTTAGGTTGATAGGATAGAGCTGTGCCGCTTTCTCCAGTGAAATAAAATGTTAAAGAAAAGGATGCCATGTAAAAATTTAAGCAGAAAGCTTCCCTTCCATTAGAATCTGCAGAAATTCTGATCAAAAATGGCTGTGGAGGTACAGGAAGCCAGCCTCTGCTACTGCATGAGTGGTAAATATTTTTCCTAGGCAACACGATGCATCATCGTGTGCCTCACCAGAGATGGGATGCAGAGGCCAAGCCCCTGAAAGGGGATGCTGTGCTGAAAGTTCTTTGATATCTGAGTGTGTATAACAGGGGTCAGACAGGAACTTCAGAAATTACTCCCCAGTCCTGTCCCTTATCTGTGCTTTGGTTTGAGCCGTGGAGCAGGCTCTGGGCTTGCTGACTGTGTTCCTTCCAGGTGGAATAAACAGGGAAGCGTTCCAGAAATGCACTGGACTGTGCTCCAGTACCTAATGGGTACCAGGACTAAACTGGAGTCAGCCTGTAGGAAAAAGTACTCAGTGTCCATATTGCAATTTTCTTGGAGTTTCTCTTCAGATCTGCTCTCATTGTATTTCCTACTAATGTGCACTCGGTCATGAGAAACTGCATTTTTGCTGCTTGAAACTGAACTGCCTTCCCTTTTGTTATTTCTGCACACCCTTTGAAAAGGGCCACCCTTTGCATCTCTGTGCCCCTTTGAGTACTGATCCTGCCCTCATCTCAGCAGCCCCCATGGATGCACAGAGAGGGACTCTTTTGCCATGAAGAGCCCTAAATCCTATTCCACCACGGCATTGGAATTACTGAATGCTCTGACAATGAGATAAATAGAAGATGACATTGTTGGTGGATTAACTCATGGAGAAAGTAGTCATTTCCCTGTTGAACACCCACCTCTCCCACTGTCATCTATTACCAGGAGATCAGTTAAAACAACACGCATTAGAAAGACGCCGGTGTGCCAAATATAGCAGAGAAGTGGATTAAGAACAGTTAATTTCTGACAGAATGTACCCCATTGTATTATCTAGGTCAGTACAGCTTGGGAGATGTCCTATATAATTTGTGGCCATGCAAACCCAAGTTGGCCTTTGTGAGTGGGAGAGAGGCAGGAATCGGCTGGCGAGGCACCACAGGTCCCAGCAGGAATGTGCTGGTTTTTGTGTGCAGTTTGTTTGTGGCTCCCTTTTGCATCCCAGCCACGGCCACGGGTGACCAGGGAAGCAGCTTCTCTGCACCCCCTTCCCTGCTGCAGCTTGGGAGGGAGTTTTGCAGCCTTTGCAAGCACTGTGTCCTGAAGGCAGCTGTGTTTTGGGGACGTGGTGGAGGGGACAGCTCTGCTTCTTGGGGGGGATCTGGCTAAAAGCTGCCTGATACCTCCTGTCTTCTGTCAAGGGAAGGGATTGTAAGAGTAGTCAGACAAAACATCTGGAATCTTGATCTTTTCTGGTCATCAGTGGCTTATGCACACACATTTCCCCTTTTCCAGGGCTGTGTAGGGGGGAAGCAGTGTGCCCCTGTGAAAGGCTTCTGCTTTCATTCAGCCACAGACACTGCTCCTTCCTGCTGCTGCTGCTTTCAGTCTGATTGACCTCCTTTCCCAAGAAATTAAACAGTTAGCTCTCAAGCTTCAAAAGCCCTTTTCTTCCCTCTCATCCTGATCCTTTCCTCCTCTTTTCCTCTTGTTAAGGTAGGCAGGGATGGATAAGTCTCTCAATGTCTTTGCAGGCACGATGCTTTACCCCAGCCCAGAGGCATGCTGGGCACAATTCACATAAACATTCTCTGTGGGCACAACGTGTTTAAAATCAAAACAGGGACATCCCTGTTTTAGGAACGTGTGGGGTCAGTGGATACAGATGCAAATCCACTGTGTGCAAATTCACACAAATTTTAGGTGTGTGGGGCAGGTTGCTTGAACTCTCTGCATTTGCCCATCTGCTCCTTCTGCTGTTTGTGCAGGTTAAGGCCTTGATCCTGACTTCAGCTAACATAATTTTCAGCTTGCAGTAACATACTTCACATTGTTTGTGAGCATATTCTGGCAGCAGAAGCAGGTCAGCTCGGCATGCAGCAGCACTTAGGAGTGCAGGGACACAGAACTTCTTGATCTCCCAGCCTGAATTCCTCCAGCAGTCCCTCCAAAAATCATCATCAAAGAATTTGTAGCCACTTAGCTGGATTCCCAGCTATGGGGAAATCTCAGAGCAATTTAGTTTTGTTGCATTCTAAAGGCCCAGCACTGGAGAAGAGCAGCCCTGTAATGTATTCCCAGCGGCCAATGGGCACATCATCCCACTTTGTTTCTAAATATAACTGTGTTCCCTAATATGCCCATGTTCTCTGTTTTTCTTTAATTATTTGTTCCACTTCAGTGGCTTCCCTTCAGATTGGTGCAAGTTGGAGATAACTATTATGAATTTCCTAATTACGGGGATATAAATACACGAATTCTCATGCTCCCAGCCTGCTGTATTTTGGCTGTGCAGGGATCAGTGTGCATTGCCTGATCTGTCACAGACAGCTGATTTTTTTATAATCTCACAGGTGCCTTTACCCTTTGTCAGCCTCTGACATAAACAAAGCATCAGAATGGGTCTTTTACACTGAACTTTAAGATGCTATCTGTTGTTTTAATTCTGACCATTTTTATTTCTGCTTCAACCCCCCTGTGGTTCCATAAAGAGTTGAACCTTTGTATTTAAGATGTTAAGATGTCCTACAGTTCCTCCCCATTTTCCGGAAGGAAAACAAAACCTTTCATTTACAGGGATTTCCAGCTTGGGTGTTTTGTTAGCCAAACCTTGGCTTGAGCAGTGTCTCTGTTTCTGTGTCGTTCCAGATTCCCTATGCAGCAAGCTTGATCAGGAAAGAAAAGCTCGGTGCACACCTCAGCAAAAGCTAAAGGTGAGCTCGTGAGAAAGAGACTTCATTCCACTTGACCTGGCTGCCTGTGCTCCTTTGCAGCCATTGCAAGAATTAAGAGGATCATTCTGTTGTTTGATGTGGCTGGTTCTGGTCCCAAAGCCCTCCCTGTGCAGGTGTTGTGCAAGAGTCTAAAGCTGATAAATTACATCTGGCATGAATTACGAGGCTTCTCTGGGCTGGGAAGTGCTGTTGGGAGCTGACCCATGGGTCCTGCAGTGACAGGACAAAGGGTGATGGCTTCAAACTGAAAGAGAGTAGCTTTAAATTAAATATTAGGAAGAAATTCTTCCCTGTGAGAGTGGGGAGGCCCTAGCAGAGGGTGCCCAGAGCAGCTGTGGGTGTCCCACAGTGTCCTGGAAGTGTCCAGGGCCAGCTTGGATGGGGCTTGAGCACCCTCAAGGGAATAGTGGAAGGTGTCCCTGCCCATGGCAGGGGTAGGATGAGAGGATCTTGAAGGTTCTCTTCAACCTGAACCATTCCACAGCTCTAACTGCCTGAGCAATTGCTTTTCCTGGCACTGAAGAGTGTCACCAAGGCCAATGTACCTTCAGTGGAAGGAGGGAAATATCTTGGCATTCAGGGTGCAAAAAAATCTTCACACTACTGCTCCAGGTAGGGAGGAGTTTTTCTGCCCTTAATGGAACTCCTCGAGCTCCAGGAAGAAGCAGCAGCACATCAGCACAATTTTGTGAGTCAAACAGAACCCCACTGACTGTGGTTCTGTAGTGTGGTGTCCTACAGAAGGTAATTATCCTGCTGCCCATGCACAGGCCCTTCCTAAACCAAACACTACATTTTTCAGGACTGTGTTTTGGAAGTGTTCATTTAGTAGAAACACCACCTCCATCATCAGTGGGAGACCCCAGTTTTGGGTGCTGAAGTCTTAGCATTTAAATGACATTCTCTTGGTTTTTTCCTGGTAAAACAAGAAGATTAGGGATTGGAGACAGATGCCGAAATCTGGTAGTCCTGCTACTGTGTTATGCCACAAAATCTGTGGATTCACTAAAAAAATCCCCAAGGAGAAGTAGGGGGATTAGAAACCTAAGAGCTACTCACGCACAGAGATCTCAGTAATGCACAAAACAGAGGTATTCAGGAGAGTCTGGGACATCTGAGAGGGGCTTGATAGTAGAGATGTGGAGGTTTTCCTGAGCTGTAGAAGAAGCAGATACTCAGAAACAGTAGGAGTGAGCACAGAGTAACCAGAAAACCACTGTCTGTGGCGCTGAGCTCTACCCTCTAAGACTACTCTAAGCACCGAGCTGGTCTCTTTTGCCCTCTTGAGCACACTTTCTTACTGGCCACCAGCGTTTTCCAGTGGAGCCCGCAGCAATCTGAGTGCAGATTTGAAACAAATTCAGCAATACCCCGAATAAAGCAGCCAGCCTCCCCAGACCAGGAGCAGCAGCTCCTGCCCCGTGTCCGCAGCGCTCCGTGCGCCATAAAACCTGCCTGAGGATGGAGGACAAAGAGTTTGTTCTTCGTCTCATCGGAGGAGACGAAGAGTTTGTTCCCATCTCCCAGAGCCTGCCAGGATGGTGCTGGCATCCCAGCAGCCAAACACATTCCGTGTTTGGCCGGAGCGTGAGGATGGATGCGCTCCTCACGCTGCCGCTGTCCCCGCATCTTTGGAAGAGATTAGTTGTTCCTTAGCTGCTGAGCTGAGCCAGAACCGCGGCTCAGCTGTGCTCAGAAGCAGTTTCACGTCCTTGATGTGCCGAGGAGGAAGAGTCTCCTCAGGAGGAAGCGTGTTGGCACATCCCCGCCCATGCAGCTGGGGCTGGTGACTCTGCTTCGCAGCCCCTCGGTTCCTGCCCTGTGCCCCCTCAGCTGCCCTCGCTGAGCCCTCTGCGCCTTCCCACAGCACATATCACATCATATCACATCACACAACATATATCACATCTGCCTGTGCTGAGTGGCACTGCAGTCAGCTGAAGTCTGCATTTCCTCTTTACTGCGAGTATTTCCACATTGCCCCACAGATAATACCAAAATCTCAGGGGATGCTGCTAGAGCAGGTGGCCTACAAGTGTCCCTTTATCAAGGGCTGTAAATAAATGTTATAATTCTGTGACTGTCTCAAACTTTGGCTTAATGTCGATAACACTTTCTCTCTCTTTTTCTCCCTCTCTTCTTTTTTCTTTTTTTTTTTTTTTTTCGTTCCCAGAAGCACAGGAGCTTTTGCAGCTGTTACCTTACAAGTTATAACCCAGTCAGAAACCTGACTTGTATATAGACTGTGAAATGGAAGTGTTTGGGGATCTAAATAAAAAAAAAATCAGGTTCCTCTGAACCTAAGGACAAGTGACCTCATAGTATCATGGACAACCATGTCAAATAGAATGTAGCAGCCATTTATTAGTAAACACAAAACAACAACAAAAAAAAATGCCTGTCCTTGATATATTTTATTTTTTTTTTTGGTGGTACCAAAGTTTAAGTCTTTGTGTTTTTAGAAGGACTATTGAGCTTGATAGAAAAAAAAAGAAAATGCTTTTGAATCGTGCAGATAAGCTGTGAAAGGAACTGCTGGTCCTTTCAATGCCACAGGCACTGACAACATCTGCCAGTTCACCTTTTGCTTTGGAGCAGTGGTTGTTTTATGGGAGGAAATGAACGTCTCACCAGATGGGCCAGAACCACGTTTGGACGGACGGGTGGACGGATGGATGGATGGATAGAGCAGTGTTAGCCATACACAGTGCTTTTTAAAAGCAGTCTGGAGATTCTCACACCCTTCTCCCTCATCCCTTTCCCCCTCTGGTATTTTGCCTGCTGTATGAATTACGATTGTACTCCTCTGGAAATATTTTACAATTTAATATTGAGTGTAATTAAGAATATAATCACTGTTATCAAAAAAGGTATTTAACTCTGTTGTAGTTTCTTTATCATTCATGTGGATAAAAAGTCTATAATAAAAAAAAAAAGAAAAGTATGAGATAATAGTTGAGCTTCCCTGTAATTTAATGCCATGCTTAGTCCCCTGAAGAAAACAAATATCCCCAAGAATACATTTTTAGAAGTATTTTAATTCACAAATAATATGCTGAAGACTTTCATGGTGTAAATTTCTGCCTCTGGTTATCTTCAAAACACTGAGAAGAAGTAGATTTAGTGCAGTTTCAGGACATGCCTTGTGGATCCACAGAAATAAAGGCAGCCAGTTTGAAGGCTGCATTCTCCCAGGTCTTTCCGTGGTGTCCTGCAGCACCCTGATTTTCAGGGCTTTTCTGAGTGAATCCATCTCCTTGATAAAGGTCTCAGTCCCAAACACAAAGGATCTCCCACAGCAGTACAGCACCACCAGCAACCAAAAGTGGTTTTAGCCATACCTAGCAGAGTTTCTTTCTTATTCCCCTCATTCCCAGCAAACTCCTGTGAGATTAAATCACCTGGCTCTACAGTTCCTTGGAGCAGCTGGCAGAGCTGGGAGGCAGGGGAGGAAGGGCACAGCCTGTTTTCATGCCCTGCCCTGCACAATTTTCTCTGGTGTTAGGTGAGCTGACAAGACTCACTGAACCAGCAGAATTATGGCTTTTGTGGTGTGGGAAAAAAAGCCAGCAAAACCACCAGAAAAGCTGGGCCAGGTCAGACCAAAATTTCACCTGTACCAGTAGCGTGTTCCCAGTAATAGAAGAAATCAGATACTTCGTGAAAGCACACCAGCAATTAGAGATATGTTCCCAGAATATTGTTTTAGCTACTAATGATTTACTGCTTATGGGTTTTCTGACCTAGACTTGATGTCTTGCTTTTAATAACCCTCAATGGATTTTTTAATTCCAGGGACACAACCAGTACCTTTTTAAGACCTAGGCACACTTTTAGCAGATTACAGCATCTTGTGGCAATAAACTCCAGAGTTTAAATACAGCTTGTGGGGGGAAAACCAGAAAAACAGCTTCTGATGATTGGAGCTGCCAAATTTAGCCTCATTTTTATGCCCTGGGCTTCTTGTTCTGGGTGAGACAAATTGCCTGTTGACTACTGGCCATGTCTGTCCACTTTCTCCATGTCTGACATGATTGCATAGGCATCTACCAAGCCTTTTTGGCTGTCATTTTTCCAGGTTAAGTCGCAGTCATCCCTCCAACATGAGCAGCCCCATAGCTCTGTGGTCTCCATGTACCTTTTCCCAATCAGGTGTATCCTTTATGAGATGCAGAACTAGCTGCACAGAATACTCAGGATAGAGGATACTCTATAGATTATTGCACAGAGTGACACTGTGCTGCTTTCTGTGATGAATGAACCCGGCTGCAGGGTGGTGGTAAAAATCTCTTACCACTATAGATCAAAAATTTTGCCCAGACATAAAGTAATCCCGTTGCTCAATAAGAAATTACCGCCCTAATGGCTTCTGAGTGCCAGAGCTCCTGGATGTGGTCAGGCGTGCAGAGCAGCCCCCTCTGCCCCTCACCATTTGAGAACCAGCCTCTTCAGGCCCAGGAGCAGACAGGAAGCACCTAAAGCAGATTTATTTGTTCTCTGCTCCCAGCTCAGCAGTGTTCAGACCGTCGTGTTCCCCAGGGACTTCCCAGGGCACAGCCGTGTGTGCTGGTGGAGTTGTGGAACCGTGCATTAAATGCACAGCTCACACCAATGACAGGTTGAATGAGCAACAAATACGCTTCAAATTGAACACTCAAACTCAAAATGTCCAATTTCCACTTGGTTATTTATGCCCACTCAGGAAATGGAAGCACCATTTACCTGGTTTGTAGCTGATTCACAGACCACAATGGCAAAGGCTGTGATGGAACATATATCACAGAACTAAGCATGAATGAGGTGTTTTGAATTAAAAAATAATTCCTCATGCTGATAAAGGTCAGGAACGTGATTCTAGAAAACAAATAAGGAGAGGCCTCCACCTAAACAAATCGCTTGGATAAATATCCAGGGAAGCTTCTTATCACCAGTCGCTTTTTGTTTGCTTCCCTCTTGTACCAAAGCTTGTACACATTAAAGTGAAAAGGATCCCATTAAACACTGTTGTGTTTCACCAATTCAACCTTTCCACCAGCTGGCATCACAAATGAAAGTTTAAGAAAAGGATACTGTAAGATTTTCCCAGTAGCTGGTGTGGGTGTATCTCCAGCACACCTACCCTGTGTCCAGACACATCGACTTGAACTCAGCTAGCTCATGGCAGTGGCCTTGGCAGGGTTGTGTTTGAGCCCACTGGGGAGCACTTCCCAGCATGGCTGGGGAGCCACCCCAGACCTGCAGCCTCCCCTGAAGGCAGCTTGGCAGTGCCCACCCTCTGCTGGAAGGTGACAGTGCCAGGGTGTGGCTGCAGCTCCCCAGTGCCAGGTGAGAATGGTCCCAGGCACAGCTGATTTGCTCACACTGCTGCTGCCCTTAGCACAAAGTGAATGACTTGTTGGTGTGGAAAATAAACACTCAGCTTTTCTGACACATGACGTGCAGCTTGTCAACACCTTGAAGAAACCTGCGTAAGTGGCCAAGTGTCGCCTCTACAGCTGCTGTCACAAGAGAGGCAAAAGGTAATAGCAGTCTCACCAGCCTCAGTTTCAGCCTTCTGGACATCAGAATCCTCTGAGAATGGCAAAACCCACAGCACAGGCTACACACTGAGCTGTGATTTGAGTTTCCAAATGCACTGGCAGTGCCACTTTTCACCCCCCAGTGCTGTGGTCCCATGAACTGCCCACAACACCTCTCAGGTGGGCACTGTCCTCGAGATGTGGTGCTGCTTCTGCAGGACCTAGGGCTTGCACTGTTTACTCCTGAGATACTTTAGCACAGCTATTTATGTTGGTGAAGAAGTGCACCAAGAAAAACATGAAGATAATGTGCTTTCCCTTATTCCAGGAAATGGGGAACAGTCCTTCTCTCAGGGTCAAATCTTTATGTGCCTTCAAGCCACCTCCCTCAAAGACCCTTTCTACCTTTTGCTGACCTTGCTCTAAAATGGAAGGTCTAAAATGAACGTTTTTGGTTGAAAGGGATCTTGAAGCTCATCCAGTTCCACCCCCTGCCACGGGCAGGGACATTTTTCACTATGTTTCACTATATTTCACAGTTCAGGTTGTTCCAAGCCACATCCAACTTGGCCTTGTGAGTCATGAACAAGTTATTTGAAGCAGGCAGCCTATCTGAGCATTTACTGCTTTTGAGATTGATCACACTGATGAATAAATACCTAGATGATTATAAAAAAGGTATCTCTTCTAGAAAAAGTTTCTTCAAAGTGTTAAGGTAAAGATCAATAAGTTTTGTCTGAGTTGGTTATGGCAAGCAGGATAAGGCCCTGGTAATTAATAGCAAAAAAAAAAAAAAATCGCTACACCTTTTTTTTATTATTATTACTGATCAAGTAAATTCCTGCACCTTTTAGAGTTCAGGTTTCCTCAGGGTTATTTTCCCTATTGCATATTTTTTATCTATTGTAAAACCTTGAGCCAGCTGTGCCAAAGGTTTGGTATAAATCTTGCAATGTACAAAAAAATAACTTCTCCTCAGAAAACCTGTATTTTTCAGGCTATATCAGCGAGGAATTAACAAAAACAAAGTGAAATTACTGTCTTTGATAAAAACTCTCACCCTGCTGGCTTTTAAAGCAGAATTACTCTGCTAAGAAAAGCTGTTGGGAGAGCTCCTGTAGGACATACCACTATTCTCCCATCATCTCCTGCAGCTTTTCTTTCCTCCAGGAGGTTTGCCCATGGATTTTATGCCCAGATGAGCATGGCAGGGGATTGGAACAAGATGACCTTTAAGGTCCCTTCCAACCCATATGATTCAATAATTCTACCTGTGTTTTGACACTGTTTCAGCCAACTGCCTTGGATTATTCAATCCAATGTTGAGATGACTTTTTTTTTTTTTTTATTATAGTAATATTATCCTTGATGCACACCCTCATATATGAAATTTTCGATCTCCGAAGCGCTAGCCAAGTGTTCACTAGTAAGAAAAACCTACAGAGGTGCTGAGAAGCCCTGTCCTTTCATACAGCTCACATCCTTGCGACCTGTGGTGTGTGCCTCTGTGGCCTTATGCACATTTGGCTGCCTGCCCTGGTCTCATTGGGATTGTTGTTATCCGTGCTGGCAGTTTTCAGTGGTGGAACTGCACCCAAGCCATGTGAGATAAGGTGTTTTTTGCAGGAAAGAGCTGCCTCCTCCACCACAGCTCCCCACACTGTGATCTCAAGCTTCTCCACAAAACTGAGTTTGAGGTGAGGTGACACCAGGATAAGAAAGAAAAAAAGGAATATTTACTCACATATTAAACTTTTTTAAAATAAGACTATTCACCTTCAGTAATATCAAGAGCATCCATTGTTTTTCTCCTTGTTGTCTCTGAAAGTTCAATAGGAGTGAATTTCCATTCACAAGAGAAGAGCATGTCCCAGTTGTTTCCACCACATCTTCACTCTGGGCATGCACAAGACATGTCAATCCCCCATGCAGATGGTCAATGGCTTTCAAGAGTGAGGTCTACTGTGTATTTTGCAGCTTTTTCTTCAGAAACATTGTCTGGATACCAGAGAAATCATCTGAGATTCCCATTAACTTCAGTGACCTTTGGATCAGACTCAAGAATCACAAATGGGTTCCACAAAGCAATCTCAGCTTTGATTTGAGCTTTCCCTTTGTTTGATAAAGAAGGGAAGTGCTGGCACCTGCCTGAACACAAAGTCCTCCCTGCTCAGGAGCTCTTCTGTGGCATGTTCAGGCTTAAAGCCAGACACAAGTCCAGCAATTCCCTGCAGGAGGGAGAGAAGGTTCATACAGACCAAGTGTCCTCCTCTGTGGGTAACACTTGCATATGTCTGCAGGCCTGCTTTTTGCTGCTCATCTCTCTGTAAAATCTATTTGTAGAATCTATTTCATGCAGTTAATTCACTGTTTTCTTGAGC